TCATTGCCCATCATTATTATGTCGTCGACGTATACGAGTAAAAACACACGGGAGTCCCCACTTGTATAGTAAAACAAGGATACGTCTGTTTTAGAGGATTTAAACCCTGCAGATAAGAGAAAATCATGAAGACGCTTGAACCAAGCCCGAGGCGCTTGTTTCAAGCCGTAAAGAGACCGCTGTAGATGACACACATGTCCCGGTGTGGTAGGATCCTCGTACCCTGGGGGTTGTTTCATGTACACGGTTTCAGCGAGATGCCCATTCAGAAAGGCATTATGCACATCTAGCTGCCGTAACGTCCACCTGTTGGAAACAGCCAGAGAAAACAACATTCGAACTGTAGTCGGTTTGACTACTGGACTGAATGTGTCAAAAAAGTCTTCTCCTGCTACCTGATTGAACCCTTTTGCTACTAGTCGGGCTTTGTACCGCTCAACAGAACCATCAGCAGCGCGTTTGGTGCGAAAGACCCACTTGCACCCTATGATGTTCATGTGCGGCTTTGGTGGGACGAGCTGCCAGGTGTTGTTATGCAGTAAGGCGTTGAACTCCTGGTCCATAGCCTCACGCCAGTGTGCATGACCTACAGCTTGCGAGTAGCACGTGGGATCGGCTACTGCAGTTAAAGCCTGGAATGGCTCATCTGTGCCCCTTGTCATGTGCCGTAGCCGCATGACATGATCACGACTTTGTGGCTGGGCACGTCGTTTCCTCGGTCTTACCGGAGCAGTGTGTGTTATAGCTAGCCGTGGTGACTCACGAGCCAAGGGTATTGGCTCAGGCCCGGAATAGGCTGGTGGATCAGCTGGTGCAGAGTCTGAGACAATTGGTGCAGATGCCCACAGTAAGGCTGGTGTGGTAGGTACTTGTGCTGCATAATCTGTGTCAAAAGGAAAGGTAGATTCGTCAAAGCGGACATGACGACAGATATAAGTCTTTCCGCTTATTAGATCAGTGCACCTATATCCCCTAAAGGACGGTGGGTAACCTAAGAAGACACACGGGGTGGAGCGATACTCGATCTTGTGCCGGTTATATGGCCTTAGATGTGGGTAACATCGACACCCGGAGACACGTAGGAAGGTGTAAGGGGGTGATGTATTGAAAAGGCGAGTGTATGGGCTTTCAAAACTGATGGCCGATGATGGTAGATAATTGATTAGGGTGTTTGCTGTTTCAAACGCAAAGTCCCAATATTCACGGGGCACTTTGCCTTCGGCGAGTAGAGTTAAGCCAGTTTCGACAATGTGTCGGTTGCGGCGTTCTACTCTACCGTTTTGTTCATGTGTATATGCACAGGATTGACGGTGATTTATTCCCAAGGATTGGAATATTTTATGTAATTTTCTGTATTCACCCCCTAAGTCGGATTGAATCGATTTGATAGAGCGCGAGAACTGCCGCTCTACCAAGACACGGAACGACTCAAAAGCTTTATATATGTCTGATTTTTCCCGTAATGGGTAAAACCAGCAAAATCTGGAGTAGTCATCTACAAAGAGACAAAAATAACGGAAACCACTAATAGACACTACCGGGGAAGGTCCCCAAATATCGGTCCAAATTAAATCTAATACATTTTGAGCGGAATTTGAAACATTTTCTAGCTTAAATCTAGACGACTTTCCAAGATGACACGAGGTACACGACTCGATTGAAGCAGCTTTATTGGATGTAACAGGGCATTGTTGGAGTACTTTATTGAGAACTTGCTCGTGCGGGTGTCCAAGCCTGCGGTGCCAAGTGGTGGGAGTAGCCCGGGAACTGACGAACGCGACATTTTGTCTTGACACTGGGAGTTTATAGAGCCCGCCCGATGTTGGCCCTTTAAGCAGAATTGTGTTGGTTATGGAGTCCTTCACAGTAAAATAATGTCCATGAAATTCAAAAAAGACATTGTTGTCAATAGCAAACTTATTGACAGAAAGTAATGGAACAGAAAGATTGGGTACATGTAGAATATTATTTAGGCATAGTGGTTTAGACAAAGACGGGATAGTTGCACGACCAATTCGCGAAATAGACAAACCTGCCCCATTACCCACTCTGAGGACGTCTGAACCGTTATACTCATCCGATTGACCCATCATGCTCGGGTCCGGGGTTGCGTGAGCGGTGGCGCCTGTATCCGGGTACCATCCATCACCCGGTGCGGCGGTTGAAGCGGCCGGAGCATCACCGGACACGGCAACATGTGCCTGAGGCTGCGGCGGCTGAGTTGTGTATCGCTTGTAACAATAGATCGCCGAATGCCCATGCGATCGGCATATTTGACACCTGGGCGCACCGCGACCGCCACGGCCACCGCGGTTCTGGCCACCACGCCCTGTCCGCCCACCACGCTGCTGCGGATTGTTCTGCTGCTGCTGTCTGCCTCCGCCATGAGATCCCCGACCCGTGCCGGCGTACATGGCAGTGTGAGAACCTGTGGCATCAAGAGACGGGTAATCGTCCACGAGAATAAACTCGTGGGCCTGTAAAAAATCAGACAAGTGCGTCAGCGTCACTGCCGCTCCAGTCGCCGTGAGGGATGTCGCGAGGGCCTTCAGTTCCGGGCGGAGACCTCGAATGACATACAGCGTCTGTTCCTGTAGCGTGAGAGGGCGTCCGGCTTGGATGAGTGCTTCAACGAGAACACCGGCTCGTCCAAGATAATCGGCGGTTGTGGCATTACCTTGACGTAGCATCTGGAATTGGCTCAATAAAGTGAGGCACCGAGCTTGACTCGAGGATCCAAGGGCGCCGGTGATGGAGGCCCATATGGCTGCCGACGTCTCCCTGCCTAGCGCGAGATGAAGGACTTCATCCGCCATGGAAGAAACGAGGAGAGAAATGATCGTCTGATCCTGCTTGACCCAGACGTGATACGCCGGATTCGCGACCGCTGCTCCCGCGGCCGAGGTGGTTGCCGAGTCGCCGGTCGTCGGAGTGCCTTGGACTGTCGCCGGCGGGCATGGAAAGCTGCCATCCACGAAGCCTAGGAGGTCCTGGCCGCGGAGGAAGGAGAGGAGCTGCATCCTCCAGAATAAAAAGTTCTTGAGGTTTAGTTTCATTGTAATGTAATGATGTGCCCCCGACATGGCGTTTCCGGTGACCGGAGTCGGATTCCCGGCGGCAGAAGCCATTCGCTCGGAGGAGGTCGACATAGGCGGCGAAAAGGGGTGAGAGGGGGGGAGAAAATTTTGTGGTGGAGGTTGGAGAGGATCGAATAACCCGCGTCTGATACCAGATTAACAAATTCACCTCAGATAGATTAGACAGAAGATAGAGTTACAGAGTATATCTTAGAAATAATCTCTAACTAATCTAACTAACAAAGAGCTAAGTCAAAACATAACTACCACCACTAGTCTAAGACTATATATTATACAAATAATAAATATGAAATAATAGTCATGCTAACAAAAATGATACTGTAGTTGTGGTGAAATGAAACTGCAGTGTATATAAAATGAAACTGAATAACATTTCACATATTTAAGTGTATATTGTACAATGAAGTTGTAATTGTATCAAAATGATCATGTAGTTGTGTTTTAATAAAACTATAGTCTATATAAAATAAAATTAAATAACATTTTCACATATTTGAGTCTATAAATATCGAATGAAACTGTAGTTGTGTTAAATCGAAACTGCAGTGTATACAAAATGATATTGAATAACAGAGTTACTTTTTGTGGAAGGGTGCGAAACGGCGGGAAATAGATATCGTTTCCTTTACACAATCGGTCTTTCTCGACTCCTTAACGACCGGTTAATGCAGCCGTCCAATCTTCTATTCGACTGGCCTTAGCTTACTAGCCATGCTGCTTGCTCCAACTGTCTGACTGACTTGATCAATCGACTTCCTCTCATAGACTAGCTAACCCTCTTATTCAACACACTATCCAGAATGCCTCCTATATCCAGCCGAGTCCTGATGTGGCTGGTCTAACTCCTTAAGTATGTCGTTTCATATCCCTTCGACTGACTATGGTCTTTTGCCATTTAGTATGCTCCGCCCAATTCCCTCATCCGTCCTCTTCATTGCGCGGCCTGCCAACTTCAACCTTTCGAGCGGCCCAGATCTATATCCTACAATCGTTATGCCATGGAACCGTGTTCACCATTCATGGTGAACACGGTTCCAACGGTGTTAGTACACCGTTATCTTTTTTTTTTTTTTTTTTTAATTAATTGCGTGACTTTTCTTCTTCATTTTCACATTTCGCGGTTTCACTTTAATTTGAGGTGAGCAATGATTTCGGATATTCATAAATTATGAATTCATGCCTACACATTCACTTTAGAACCATGCCTATACATTCCCGTCCGAAATCACGAACATTCATAAATTATGAATCCATGCCTGCACATTCACTTTGGAACAATGCCTACACATTCCCGTCCGAAATCACAGACATTCATAAATTATGAATCCATGCCTGCACATTCACTTTGGAACAATGCCTACACATTCCCGTCCGAAATCACGGACATTCATAAATTATGAATCCATGCCTGCACATTCACTTTGGAACCATGCCTACACATTCACTTTGGAACCATGAGATTATGAATTTTCTGTTATAAGATTATGAATTTTCAGTAATGAGATTATGAATTTTCAGTTATGAGATTATGAATTTTCAGTTATGAGATTATGAATTTTCTGTTATGAGATTATGAATCTACATTACATTTATAATCTCATAACAGAAAATTCATAATTTAATACATATTTTACTTTTATGCAATTATGAATTTTCTGTTATGAGATTATGAATTTACATTACATTCATAATCTCATAACAGAAAATTCATAATTTGATCAAACGCGCGCTGTTAACTTCACATCCGGCGAATTTTTTTATTTTTTTATTTTATTTTATTATTATTATTATTATTATTTTTCCATAAAAACGACGTCGTTTGTACTTATGTTCACATAATTTGCGTATATCCCATCAATATATTTTCAAGTTATTGCTATATATTTTTTGGGTCTGGTTCGTACTAAATAGCCACTCCAAAAGCTTGTCATTTCCAACATGGAGATCCAATACTACGTTGCATTGTTATTATCTGTTCTCCTCATCCTCCTAAGACTGTTCTTTTCCGGTCACAGAAAAAACCTACCGCCGACTCCACTCGCTCTCCCAATCGTCGGCCACCTCTATCTCATCAAGAACTCCCTTCACCAATCTCTCGCCTCCCTCTCGGCCAAATACGGCCCGGTTCTTCACCTCCGGTTCGGCTGCCGGTCTTTCCTCGTCGTCTCTTCCCCGTCCGCCGTCGAAGAATGCTTCACCAAGAGCGACATCATCTTCGCGAACCGGCCCCGGACCATGGCCGGCGACAACTTCTCCTTCAACTATAAAGCCTTAGTGTGGGCCCCGTACGGAGACCTCTGGAGGGCCCAACGCCGGTTGGCGGCCGTCGAACTGTTATCGGCGGCCAGCCTCCAGCGATCTTCCGTTATCAGGGAGGACGAGATTCGAACGGTAATCCGGTCACTGTCCAGACTGACCAAAAACGGAGCCGTGGATTTCAACTCTTTGGCCGGCGGGTTCACTTTCAATGCGATGATGAGAATCATAAGCGGGAAACGGTTTGTGGAAGAAGAAGAGATCGGAGGAGAGAAAGGGAAAGAGATAATCGATGGGCTTCGAGAGCTTTTCTTCGCCAGTATTCTGGGCATGAATGCCTGCGATTTTTTCCCGGTTTTGAGGTGGTTTGGCTACAGAGGCCTGGAGAAGAAGATGGCGTCTGTGAGTAACAGGAGAATCGAGCTGGTCAGCCGCCTTTTGGACGAATTTCGCCGGAAAAAACTCCGGTTTAAGGATTCAGACGGCGGCGAGAAAACAACAGTGATTGAAACTCTGTTGCGTCTGCAAAAATCGGAGCCTGAGTTTTACACAGATGATGTTGTCATGAGTATCATACTGGTAATTAAACTACTTCTTGTCTTCTTCCCTGTCTTCATTTTCATCTAACTCTCATTTATTTTCAATTTTAAAATTACCAAATTTAGTTTAAGTACCAAATCATTTTCAATTCTAATTCTGGTTGTAAATCATTAACATTGAGGGTAAAATTAGAAACTTATGACCATGACGTTAATTGTTTCTCACACGTGGAAAACAAAGTTCGAATTTCCTTATTCTAGCCGCCTAACCATTAACACAAGTTAATTACAATTGGAAATTATTCAATACTACAAACCTAAATTTAATGAGTTCTACTACATAGACTCCCAAAATTCTACTCCATTATTTATATTTTCAGAGGTGGCAAATCAAGATTGATTATTTTCATCATGTGGGTCCACAGAAAAGTGTCTACATCAAGAGCATGTGAGAGAGAGTACAAGTTGGAAGTCTAAAAATGGGAGTACACCAAGTATTTTCCAAATTTAATAGCTTTAAAAGTTATTGGTCTTGTTTGGTAACATAGTTAACTTAGTTCATTTTGGCTTATTTGACAACTATTAGTTGTTTGACTTGGTTAAATAATCAATATAAGTGTTTGATTAATTAGTTTATTTTTTTGTAACAGCTTATTGCTCCAAAATGTTTAAAGCAGCTTTTTTTCATTAATTTTTTGAGAATGTAATTTTGCATTTAATCATCTATCAGCTAACAATTAATTTACCAAACACTTTTTTACAACCAGCTAACGCTATCAACTAGTCAAATTCATTAACTCAATCAGCTAATATAATAACTATTGACTAAAATTGGAAATAAGTTAGTTATAGTACTAAATTTAGAATTAACTCTAATTTGTAGATATGAAGAAATAAACTATATATACAACGTAACACTCGGTCTCCATGCACATTCTAAACTTTGGGAAAAAATATATCTTTAATTAGTACAAATTTGTGCAGACTATGTTTGTGGCAGGAACAGAGACATCATTAGCAACCATCGAATGGGCAATGTCGCTTCTTTTATCTCACCCGGAGGTGCTAGGCAAGTTAAGAAATGAGATTGACAACAACATAGGACATGAACGTTTGTTAAACGAGTCTGATCTCTCAAAACTCCCTTACCTACGATGTGTTGTTAATGAAACTCTAAGACTATACCCTCCGGTTCCACTTTTGATACCCCATTATTCATTACAAGACTGCATAGTCGCAGGTTTCGATGTTCCTAAACACACAATACTCGTGGTTAATACTTGGACTATGCATCACGATCCCAAGGTGTGGGAAGAGCCGAGAGAGTTCAAGCCAGAAAGATTTGAGGCCATGATAGGGGACGGGGAAGGGTTGAACTATAAGTTTGTTCCCTTTGGGATGGGGAGAAGAGCTTGTCCCGGAAACAACATGGGATTAAGGATGGTCTCGCTGGCATTGGGGGCATTTATTCAATGTTATGAGTGGAAAAGTATTGGTGAGGACGAAATGTCTGCTGCTCCTCTCTCTCGAGAAGCTTTGCAAAGGGCTGAGCGAGTGGAAGTAGTATGCACTTTGCGCAAAAATTGCCACCAATTTCTCGTCTAACTTTAAAGGATAGAATTTGTGTTGTTGTTGTCCGCATGGCCGGACAGTTCAACTAGTTGCAGAGGTGAAATTTGTCACAAGAGACCAAAGAGTTATCATGATTATCCCTCCACAAATAGTTGGGTCAGGTGTAGGAGCGCTTGGAGTGAGCGATTCTATCTTTTGTCATAAGAATTCGTATTGTTGTTCTCATTGTTATTATTGAGTGCTCTTATTGCTGTGGTCATGATTTTTAATTTTCAAATTTATGGTAGTGTGTACAAGTTCGTCATAAGAATTCGTATTGTTGTTCTCATTGTTATTATTGAGTGCTATTATTGCTGTGGTCATAATTTTTAACTTTCAAATTTATGGTAGTGTGTACGAGTTCTGGTTCATTCTAATTATTATCAACTATTTTTGTTAAGGGAAAGTTGAATTTTGAACTTTAACTATATTGACATTTTAAAAATGAGTCATAACTTTTATCTCTTAATTAATTAAATTTAAAACATCTCATTTATTAGAGAGGTTGTCAAGGCCAAACTACATCTCTTGAATGAACACACTTTTTTCATACCAATATGTTAACATCCTATTGGTCATGAAGTACACTTCAACTAGTCAACTAATTGAAATTGAGTTGAGAAGCTTTGCTTAGCTAGTAACTATAGAGTGCAGTGTAAATGATAAAAAAAAAAAAAAAAAGTAAGAATTGACTTTGTTGTGGGTACTGGTATACAAACATTTAATTTGGGGACATATATAAGCTAGCTAGCTGAGACATATCCGTAATTTATTGTTAAAAGAAAAGAAAATAAAACAATAGTACAAGCAAGAATATAGCTAGGTAGGGTGTTTGGGATCGGAAGAAATGACTTAGGGCAAATTATATCATGAATCAGGATCTATCTTGCATGGTAGATTCTGATCTAAAAATAACATTAAGATTCTGTACTATAATTGATACATTCTTTACTTGCAATTAATTAACTGTTATTGTACCTGTAAACAAATTGAATGCACATCATATGATAATTACATACACATAACATGTAACTACAAACATATAAATTGTTAACTATAGTTACAAAATATGTTGACCGTAGATACATAACATGTTAGCCAACATCTATGTGTATGCAACTAACATATTTTGTACTTACACTTAATAATTTTTGTGTATGTAGTTATCATGTTATGTGTCTATAATTATCATGTTATATGCTTTCAATTTGTTTACAGGTACAAAAATTGTTAATTACAGGTAGAGAATGCGTTAACTACAAATATATAATTTTTGGATAAGGATCTAAAATACAATATGAACTTGGTCCATGGTATAACAATTAATGTCAAAGGCCTTGTGGTCGAACGGCATAGTTGTTACCCATTAAATGAGAAGTTCTAGATTCGAACTCCAATGTGAGGATATTGATTCCGTATGTATGAGCAGATACATATTACTAACACTTGTGGACGAATTCTACAATTATAGACTAAAGTTATGGGCCCCTTTATCTTCCTCTTTGTTTGGGTGCAGCAGATGCTGACATGCAAATTGCAAAACGTTGTTACTTTCAACATGGGTGGTCCTGTCCATACTGTGTTTCTACATACAATTTAGTGTTATTAATTCGGTAAGGTAGGTTGTAGTGTATGTCTTATCACTATATGCTACCCACACACTATATATCCCCACACAAAGAAAACCCCCAAAAAAGTTATAAAGTAATTAGGTTAGGCCAGGTACGAATTATATTCTTGTCAAGAATGTGTTTCTTTCTGACATGACACTTATTAGGACTCTATGTATATGAGTTTTTTAGAACTTCTTATCCTTGTCACACTGTGACTCTCTACTTCTTATCATTGTCACACTGTGACTCTCTATTCTATATATTCACATCATCTGATCTCATTGTAATCAAGTTCAGAAAATATAATACAATCAGTTCTCATCTGGTATCAGTTAGCTAGGGTTTTGTGATTCATAAAATTAAGAAGATGCAGCGCTGCGATGGCAACCTTAATTACCGTGGAGGTCAGCAACGTGGCTTCGATGATCCGTGTCAAATCTGTAAAGGTTTCGGCCACACAGGAGTCAATTGTTTTTGGCGCTATGATGATCCGTGTCAAATTTGTAAACGTTTTGGTCACACGGGAGCCAATTGTTTTTGGCGCTATGATGATCCGTGTCAAATTTGTAAACGTTTTGGTCACACGGGAGCCAATTGTTTTTGGCGCTATAATGATCCGTGTCAAATTTGCAAAAGTTTCGGTCACACGGGAGTCAACTGTTTTCGGCGATATTCAGGGGCTCCGGGTTCTCAGGCTAATTTGGTGTTTCAGAATGGTTTAGTTGCTAAAACCTCGTCAAATTCTCATACTTGGGTTCCGGACACTGGAGCCACAAATCATGCAACTCCGAACATCGCTGCCCTTTCTACATCGGAGAAGTACACTGGTAATGACACTTTACGTGTCGGTGACGGTATGGGTTTATCTATTAGTCATGTTGGCCATGCCTCTTTTAATACCCCTTCTAGATCATTTACATTGTCTGATATACTTCACGTTCCGCGTTTGTCTAATTCTTTATTATCTGTTCAGAAGTTTGCATCCGATAATAAAGTCTTTTTTGAGTTTCACCCCTCCTTTTTTGTTGTAAAAGATATCAATACCAAGGAAATACTTCTTCGGGGCAATAGTTCGGGGGGACTATACACACTTTCATTACCTAGTTCGTCTCCGTCAGCGTTTATTTCCGCTCGTGCCTCGGCTTCCACTTGGCACAATCGTCTAGGTCATCCTCATAACCGTGTTCTTAGCCATATACTTCGTTCTTGTTTGGTTAGTGGGTCTCGTGATAATATTCGTTGTCATAATTCTTTATGCAATGCGTGTCAATTAGGCAAATCTGCCCGTTTTCCCCTCCCCCGTGTTGCTTCCTCTAGTTCTCAAGTCCTAGATCTTATTTACACAGACATTTGGGGTCCTGCGCCCACTTTATCTACTTCTGGCTTCCGTTATTTTGTGATCTTTGTGGATGACTATTCCCGTTATACATGGTTATTTCCTATGAAATTAAAGTCTGATCTTTATGTCATCTTTGATAAATTTTGTACTCTTGTTGAACGGTCCTTTAATTGCAAAATAAAGGCCATTCAGTCTGATTTAGGTGCTGAGTACAAAAAGTTGCATTCTTTGTTTGTTCAATTAGGAATTCAACATAGACAATCCTGTGCCTATACACATGAACAGAATGGTCGTGTTGAACGAAAACATCGTCACATTGTTGAAACTGGTCTGGCTCTTCTAGCTCATGCCTCTGTTCCTTTGAAATTTTGGGATTTTGCCTTTGAGACTGCTGTCTATTTAATTAACAGAATGCCATCTTCTGTATTAAATAACTCCAGTCCTCATCTCCTGTTACATAAATCCCCTCCTTCCTATCTTTTTCTTCGTGTCTTTGGGTGTTTATGCTACCCTCATCTTCGACCATATAATCGTCATAAGATGTCATACAGGTCTTCTCCATGTGTCTTCCTAGGTTATCCTGAGTCCTTTAGGGGGTACAGATGCATGGACTTACATACTAATAAGATTTACACATGCAGGCATGTCAGATTTGATGAAGAAGTTTTCCCCTTTGCTACTAAAACTTCTTTGCAGGATCTATCTACTCCGTTTTCTGGACCTTGGGTGGAATCTGTTCTCAGTCACAGCACACCTATTCCTGCCGTGTCCAATGATGAGCTGCCAGAACCGCCGCTACCTGTTTCATTCGAACCAGCCGTGGATCCTGGACAGGCTGCCTCGTCGGGTGATCCTGTGGAGCCTGTTGCTCGCCGGCGAGGCCGTCCACGTGGGCGGTCCATCAGGCCCAATGTCCGTACTCACTCTATGGCCACTCGCAGCAACGCAGATGCTCCTCTTTTTGCTCTAGCAGCTCAAGTGCATCCCACGGAACCCACATGTTACTCTCAAGCTGTCAAATATCCTGAGTGGCGTGAAGCCGTGGACCAAGAATTCAATGCTCTCCTGCATAACCACACATGGTCTCTAGTTCCACCCACTGCAGGTATGAATATTATTGGCTGTAAATGGGTGTTTCGTACGAAGAGAAAGGCTGATGGTGCTATTGAAAGGCATAAAGCCAGGCTGGTTGCGAAAGGTTTTAATCAGGTTCCAGGTCAGGACTTCTTCGACACTTTTAGTCCAGTGGTAAAGCCTACGACTGTAAGACTCCTTCTATCTCTAGCTTTATCATCTGGGTGGTCTATCAAACAGCTAGATGTTCATAATGCTTTTCTGAATGGTAATCTGGCTGAAACAGTTTATATGAAGCAACCCCCTGGTTATATTGATGCTAACTTCCCGAATCATGTTTGTTTGTTAAAAAGATCTCTGTATGGGTTAAAACAAACTCCCAGAGCTTGGTTTAATCGACTACATACGTTCTTACTGTCGGTTGGCTTTCAAGCATCCAAGACAGATGTCTCTCTGTTCTATTACTCTAAAGACTCTGCTTTGGTTTATCTATTGGTGTACGTGGATGACATTCTTGTAATGGGAAGTGATCAAGGTATTATGTCTCAGCTCTTGTCCAAACTGTCTGCTACATTCAAAATCAGAGATCTTGGTGAACCAAATTTTTTTCTGGGTATTGAAACAGTTAAGAGTGACAATGGGATTATTTTATCTCAACAACAGTATATGAATGATATTTTAAAACGGGCTGGAATGTTTGAATGCAAACCCCTTTCTACACCTATCTCTGTCTCGAAAACTGTCCCCTTCAATTCAGATCTATATGACATCTGATGGATACCAAATTTTGCTCATCACACTGATGGATATCAAATTTTATACATGCAAAACTTACAAATCAGTTTTGTTAACTTTTTTAAAATACCTTTTAAGTGTTATAATTAAATTATTATTATATTATATTTTGAAAGCTAGTGAATTCAAATTGCCACTACTGGAAATTATGAAATTTCCGACCACTTGAAAATGATCTTAAATCAAGTAAAAAGTCTTGTTCCGACCACTTTTGGTATCCGGAAAAACCTTTGTTGCTATTTTCGACCACTTTTTGGTATCAACTTGATTCAAGATCACTTTCAGGTGGTCGGAAATTCCATAATTTCTA